GTCAGTGAATATTTCAGAGTAAGGTTTAGTTTATTTGTGGAGGGTTTCCAATACTGACAAATTCATGCATTGTATCAACATAAAAAAATAGATTAACAAAAAAAGACTTTTAAAAACGACGCAGTACAATAGAATACAATTCAATGCCATGCCCATAAATTTGTCAGAGCATGAACAAGTATGTTAATTTTAAATAAAATAATTGAACTTTTGTTGCCAAAAAAAAGTCACCGAGAACCCCTAAACTACACCTCATCATATCTACACGGTTTCGAAAGAGTTACAGTTTTTGAAGATCGATTGAAGGTTCGTTTCAATATACAAAATACTATTTCACCGGGCGATTCTAAGTGCTATTCCTCGAGACCGCAAATGAATAAACTAGCTCTATCTTACAGTTGGAAAAATGCAAGTTCCTTTTAAGTAAGAAATATTAAGCCCATCAGCAAGGAAACATTTTCGCCGATTCTACGTCGCGCAAACAGGTCACATGTCGGAATTATTCGTCAAATATGAGCCCATAATCTTTAACTCGAACACACTTTAGCGTATTTATCGTGTGTTTCACAGGTTAATGAAAACCACTCTAAATTGCACGTGCACACTAAATTTAGTATATTCATGCTTCGACTATTTTTCACTAAATTGTACTAAATTTCTCGATTTTACTTAGTGTTGCACGGATATAGAGTGGTTTTCATTAACCCGTGAAACATACGTTAGCGTATTTATCGCTATTACACTTCGKCTCTTTTGTTTTTTWYTGTCKCTACGCGACTATTACGATCTATTACACTCTAATTATTAYACTTTGTTTCACGGGTTTATGAAAAYCACTCTAGTTGAGAACTGCACGTGCGTTTATGCACACGTCGYCCTCGGAGCTCAACTAGCTAGCTACACTTTATAACCGTTACAAATGCTGGTGGAAATAGAGACAAAGTCTCATGCTAAAAAGGTACTTATCTCACAAACTTTTCCGTAGAAGCAATAAATTCCTTTTGTGGTTTATTTTGAGCATTGATGAATCAATCAAAGCCGATATTAAAAGGGCGCTATTGGTTCTTGTCAAGTACGTCAAATAACGCTGAGCTTTGAGCGATAGAATTCCTTCGAAAACACATTGTTTACAGGTATTTTCGAGTCTTTACATTAAAAATGCGTCTTGTCTTGATTTTTAGCTTAGACTTTTATAATAAACTCGTTAGAAAACACGTTCATTTGTGTACTGGGTCTTGATATTGGTTATTTTTACTTTAACCTAACAATGTCTTTTGTCTTGATTTTGTTGCGACGCTGAGAATAAAGACTCTTAAACGCGTTTCGTTGCGTATTGTTTGTTTATTTTATCTTTAGACGTGCCTTGTGTCTTGATTTTTGCAGCAGCGCAAATAAATAAAGTTTCTTAAATGCGTTTACTTGCGTATTGTGTGGTTATTTTAGCTTTAGTTGATTGTGTCTTTTGTCGTTTTTGCGGCAGCATCACAAATGAATGAAGGCTCTGAAATCATTTTACTTGCGTTTTATTTTAGATTTTTTTGTTTTGATTTTGCAGCAACGCTATTCTTGAAAAAGCACGACCCATGTCTCTATCTATTTCACGGGTATGTTATTTGCACTTTACAACACGCCTCTACGGTCCATTAACCACAATAGATTAATCATAGTTTGTATTAAATCAGTTAAATTTAGCGATGAAGTTCCGAGTGAAAAACTGAGCAAAGAAATCCAAGAGAAAGCAAAGAGCTGAGCAGATACAACTCTGACATCTCTGCGAAAGACTTTTTACCGGCCAGGTCCTAATATCTTAGTCGACATGAAAAAGAATTAATGTAAATATTCCGTCATACATTTCATAGGGCGATGAGCTCGTTTTTTTTTTGTATGTGTTAATTCCTTTGAATTTTGTGATATTTTCAAAATAGGGTGACTAAACACATCATATCTTCTAAGATTAATGAGTGTACACCGATGTTTTTCGTGTTTTAATAACAAGAGATATATAGATCTAATTGGGAAACAGTCATTTTTATAAAAATCGATGTGCACTTTAGAGATATTGGCTTCAAAACTACACAAATGTTCAGTAAATTCAAAATTGGGAATTKKTGTGTTCAATCATGTGGTTGTTATGGCAACGCATTGACAGATATTTTCTCTCTCTATGCGGGATATCGGTAACTGAGATGTTCTTGTATGTCAATAAGTTTGAGGTTGCTGTGAATATACACTTTTATGCTTCTGCAAAGTTGAGGTTAATTTGTGCAATTTTTGGTTATTTTCCAGGGGGACCTAACTTCCCCCCTCCTTTTGACCGATCTTTAAAAAATCTAGAATTTTCCATAACTTACTAAATGCAAAAAGTGTGCCAAGTTTCGGCATAACCAGCTGACCCCCATGTAGCACCAATTGCCTGGTTTTGCCTTTTTCATGGACACACTCTTAATATGAACAATCAATCTTACGACCAACGCGTGGTAATATAGTTGTAGAGTTTACAACTCGTGAGGACTAGAATATTTAAGAGGCGTATGTTGGGATTCCTGTTCAGTGTGAAAATCGAAGATATCTCCCGATCCTAGTTCTGTCAAGTATTCTTTTGTAAAAAAAATGTTGACCGTCAATTTACCACAAGAAATTTATTTATCTTACAAATACCGATATTGTAAACCAGGTAACCAAAATGCTATCGTGTAGTATGTCGTTCTGTAAGCATGTAAACTCATTAAAATGGTTGCCGCTGCGCTATAT